TACTAAGCATCAATCGCACTGCCTTTAATTTCAAAGTTAATTCAAGAAAACCAAAAGATAAAATACATTGGTGTTTATTTAGGTATGGCATCACTTAATTATTCAACAATGTACATTGTAACTTGTATATTTTGTCAAATAATTGAATTTTTCAACATGTTGCATTTCAGTTTACAAATGCATCTCAAGCAAACATTTCACGGACAAACACTGACATTTTTGAACATCGTTGCGTCAAAACTTTGGGTTGTACAATCTTGATTGATCAACATTTCTTTCAACACAAATGTGAAACATACATTTTGGTATATTTGCAACAATTCAAGTCAGTTTTTTCAGTGCTTGACAATATCACACCGTACACGGTATAAGAAATCAGTGGTGTCTTTTTTACGATCCAACCAAACATTTGAATGCCGAGCATAGCTGGCATGACTTGGGTGGAGTGGAAGCGTGTGGCTTTAAGCGTGTCTGATCTGTGAACCCGGGTGTCGTCACAGAGATGTTAACCTCCATCCATTGGGCTAACAAACAAAGGTAATCCAGGCAGGGCCCCTGCTTGATACAGAGGGTTAAGAGCAGCAACAACCACAATAACAACACACCTCAACTGAGTCAATGCCAACCTTGGAGGTTGGAAGGATAGGGTTACAGGAAAAGGAGTTGTTGGAAGAAGCAGAAGTCTGGGCCAATGGGGTTTGAGGCCCAAAACCATGCTGCAAAATAAACTGAATTATCAAGAGGAAAAAGTAGTCAATCGTGTTCTCACAGGACCTGCAAACAACCAAACAGTGTTAGCATTGATGTAAGGCGTCAGTCCGCGGGATTCAACCTGAAACGGAGAAAAGGAGTCAACTATGGACATTCAGCTGTGGTCCTGCAAAAAACAAATGCGCTTCTGGATCCCATCCAAAACACCTAAGTGAAGAATGAGAAATGTTAGTAGATTCAAAGTTTGGAGATCTTTTAAACATCAGGCGTGTCTTCAACCCAACGGTCATACATTTGGGGGCCATGTTAACATTTTAAGCAGCATATACAGTAGTTATATGTTAGAAAACCATTGACATTTAAAAGAAAATAATCAATAGCAAACAAACAATTAGACGATATGAGCAGATCAAATCTGTCAATCAGTAGATGTAGCATCTTGTTTAAAACCTAAATTAGTGCAGCTTTCAAAAAATCATCAACATTAAACAGCTAAAGAGGAGTGCTCCAAACCTGATGACATAAAAAGCAAAACGTTCATCATAAAGTACATGCAAGTACAATGGCAACAAAAACCTTAGAAACAAGGTACAAATAGGTCCAATATGAACCTGGTTCTCTGTTACCAGACATAACCTTCATGTCTTTTACTAATGCGACTTAAATGGCATTGCCAATACTTTTCAAATCCATAGGATTCATAATTTAAATTCAACACAAAAAACCTTGACCCACGTGCAAAGAAGTGGCCAGTTCAAACATCTAACAAAACAAAACCTTAGTCAGTAGAGTCAAAGAGAAAGCACGAAACGGGAACAATGACAAACAAAACAACTTAAATTGTCCTCAATTGTAACATGCAGCCCTGTACGACTTACAAGGATTACAGGAAACCGCCAGGTAACACATGCAGCTCTTCCTCCTTATGCTTACAGCTAATACTATGGCATCTTAAATATTTTATTTATTATCAGTGCTGTGTGTTGGGGAGGATGGAGGTAATTAAATGTAAACTATGAATATATACACTCATATACTACGTATAAAGATACTCAAATACTTGACAAAAAAAATGAAGATTCATTGCCAGAAATAATGGCAGATTGTACCAAACTGGCATGTAATGGAACTATGTCGCCTACATTCAAAAGTACAAGTTACCTAATCTTACTGATACACCTAGTTCAAGTTTTATTGTGCAACAAGCAATTGTTAAAGGATTTGGTAAAACAGCACAGGGAGAGGAGTCAGTGTAAGAGACAATACCAGGGAGGATAAAAACTAACCATTACCTTAAGAAAAATATTAGATCACAATGAATGACAGCTGGCATCCGAATTGAGCTACCTCACCGTAAAGACAAAGACATCAGACACACAGACAAAGTTGTGGGCTAGAATAGTTAAATCGGCGTCACATACCCATATTTTCATGGTATATATAGGCCTTATTTTATTTTCCCTTTAAAACGTCTTCAAATATCTACGAACAGAAACAGGGTCCAGGCTCCCTTTAGTTTTCGTTCTACATACAAATGAAACACTTGTAGAATAATTATAGTCTGGACACATCCGTTTTTTTTTTATATATATAAAACGGTTAACTTGATACAAAGCACATAATGAGAACTCAAAACGTTTGGAAAAATGATAAACATTCGGTGAAAGTTCTACTTGTTTGGTGTTATGTACATGATTACTAATACACTGACAATGGTTGCCCCCACACCTTCCGAAGCGGAACATGTATTGCGCTAAATGACCTGAATGAAATTATACTAAATAATGTAATTATACTGCAACTGTTTTATTCTGATCTCTTATTATGGAAGGTTTGTCACTTTTGGAAGCAAAATAAAATAAAAACCTAACCAAGCCTTGATCCAGCAATACTGAAAGGTACTATGTTGTCCACTGATGCAAATATGCCTTTGTTGCACCAGATACCAGGTTTGAGTAAACCTGAAATCCATCAATAATAAAAAAAAAAAAAAGTATGTGTGTGTGTGTGTGTGTGTGTGTATGTGTGTGTGTGTGTGTGTGTGTGTGTGTGTGTGTGTGTGTGTGTGTGTGTGTGTGTGTGTGTGTGTGTGTGTGTGTGTGTGTGTGTGTGTGTGTGTGTGTGTGTGTGTGTGTGTGTGTGTGTGTGTGTGTGTGTATGTATGTATGTATGTATGTATGTATACGTTCATTATCTAGATAATAACTTCGTATAGAATGAGTTTGTAAATTTGTATTTTTCTTTTAAGTAAAAAAAACTTAACAGAACTTTCCTTTTGCAGCTTGGTGTTATCATCAGAATGCTAAACTACAAAAACATAGATTGGCAAGACTGCTACAACATTTTGAATTGTGGCGAAACACAAAACAATCCAGTATCCTTGTTTACCTATTGAATCAAAGTAAAATGTACTATTAAATTAAAGTTTACTATTAAATGAAAGTAAGAGTGCTGCTAAATTGTTGTCCCCCCCCCCACCAAATATATTTTAAAAAGTGGGACGGGAAAATATTTTTAGTGTAAACTTAAATGACAAAAACCAGACAAAGTATGTAGAAATTATAATTTACATATATATTTTTTAATAATATAATCTTTGAGAACTAGAAATCTCTAAAATAAAAGCTAGACAGTTAGGGAGAACAGAAAATTCTAAAAACGATGAATTTAGGAGTATTTTTGGCATGGCTGGATTACTGACCGGACACGCAGGGCACATACCCAGGGCCCCCGATTAGGGCCCCCGATTAGGGCCCCCGATTAGGGTACCCATTGCTTTTGTTATAATGTGTGAGCATAAGAAAACAGCCATGGCAAAATGCGATGTATAGAATTGCAGGAAATTAGCTGAAAAACAGCACATTTGTCTCTCCGCCGCCAATTCTGGATCGAATGAAGCTGTGGCAATGGGCCGTCCACGCCCATTACCACACCCCCCAACACGCCCACCAGATAAACCCCTTTTTGATCCAGAAAAACCTTGCCTGACCCCCCACCCACCTTCCGCGACAGTTGCCACCACTGCTAAAACAAAATCTAGGGGAAACACTGACAAACCTTTAAAATTAATCTGTAATGATGATTTATTTTGGAGCTAGCAAACCCACTAAACCGGACATGTACCAATGAAATCAGAAATGCCAACAATATACAAAACTAAACATGTTGAGTGCATCCCCAAAATTAAAATGTCTAAAACGCATTCCGAGATCACAAACTTAGGTGCCCTATTCATGTTTACCCAGTTAAAAGACTATACGAACGGCTCCCTATTAAAGTACACGTTTTTCTAATGATCAAGTAACGCTACCGGTCAAAATAGACTCACTAGCTTGAGAAGGACAATTAAACCAGTCTTTCTGCGTAACGTCAATGAACTTCAGTGTAGAGAAAATCTAACAATTACACACTATTTATCCATGTCATCCAGCCTAGTATTCCTCCGAAACTGAAAGGTGAAGACATGGTGGCCAGTCAAAACAAGGGCTTTCTTTAACAGAAGAGTGAAATTATGTTAGGAATAGGTTTAAGAACTTCCTATAATGTTGCATGGCTAATCAATCTAGATTCTATTTGAACAAAAATCCTTGGAATCGTTACCTGGTGCAAGTGCAAGTTTGAATGATCACCATAATCACCCTCAAACTGCATTAGAACAGATTGTTTTTTTAATGGCTTAAGTTCTCCACTAGGCAGTGCCATTTACCCAGAAACTAAATGATGCTTGAGGAAGGGCTCTATACGAAAAGCCACCCCATAGTTTCCAATCCACAATAATTATGAAATGCTGCCATCTATAGAAGGAAAATGGCACTTCCAGAATGGAAAATATGTAGTGGCAAGCCTCGCACCTATTCTACACCTGTTTCATTCAGCCAAGACCTACATCAGCAGCTTGCCTCGAATCAAAAACACCTGTTCAGAAAATTTGCAAAATCTCCAGGTACAAGTTAAATAGCCTATACACAGATCTCCAAAACTCTTCTCCCTAATCGTTGATATTGATGGTGTTCACAACTGAGCTGAGCGTGGGAGCAACCATTATCCAGTGTCAACCACTATTTCTTGTTGTCGTTAGTGCCCGATGCACAAACCTTTTACTCAAACCTTTTCTCATCTTTTCACAGACTATCCAGTATCTTCCCTCTAGAGTCACGTCTGTCCAAGTGTCCAGACCAGCGACCATAAACATATTGTCACATGAAACCGGCATTGAACCTCCCCCTTGACGGCAATTCAACCATGAGCAAAACATGCTGCTTTGTGTTGACGTTTTCCACAGTAGATAGTCAGCAGGTGAGGCGGTCAGGGGTGCTTGTTGTGAGGAGGATGAGGGTGCGGTGTAGGCTCTTAGCGTTCCATAGGGCTGTGGATCTGTACACGGAAGCCTCCAAGCCGCATGAGCGCCAGGCGTGACGTCCTGCACTGGGCGCTCGACACCTCCCTCTACAGCGCGCTTCAGACATCAATCAGTGACACGTCAATATGGGACAAATCTATCATATGCCTGTATGGTTCCAAAAGAAAGATGCCTCGATGAGTAAGCGTTCTAATTTGGTGTTAGGTGTAAGCCCTATTCATAATGATGCATTTTGGGGAGACTACAATTTCAGAATAGTGACAGAGGATTGTGGGTTTTAAAAAGGGAGAGTGAAACAAAGTGGTTTATTTACCTGTTGAAGCTGACTTGGAAACTCAAGGCATGCTGGGGATTGTGAAATTTGGCAATGGCTTTCCTCTGCTGGGGCAGCATTTTGAACATCTGCAGCAGCATAAGCAGAACAAGGGAAGAGCAGGCGTGTTTAGAACAAGTTGCTGCTACCCCCATCTCAAGCTTCTCTTCTCTCCCACAAGAGGGAGCATGGGCGGATGGGGGAGGCATGTGTGGTTATATTACATTCTGTAGCTAGAGGGTGCTAGCAGACCACAATCGGATCCACATTACAGTCCACCAATATGAGACGGAGCATAAAAGAGGTTCCACCGGTGGAGCAGGGAAGCATGGAGGGAGAGTAGGGAATGCGTCCCAAATGGCACCCTAGAGAGTGCTCTACTTTATATATATATATATATATATATATATATATATATATACACACACATACACACAAAAGTTGTGCCCTATCTAGGGAATACTAGGGTGCCATTTGGGACGCAGCACGGAGAGAGACAAGGAGAGAAGGCCTACCTGGATGGGGCCGATTGAGTTGAGCAAGTTTCGGAGCTGCGCGTCGGTGGTGGATGTGGAGAGGCCGTCTATGGACACAGTACAGGCCTGGCTGTCCCCTGCCCCTCGCTGGCTCTGTCTGGTGGGAATCAGGCGCCCACGCCCCAGCTGACCCGCTCCTCCAGCCCCCGCTGCCCCTCTGGCTCTGCCACGCCCTGGGACAACCACCTGCACCAGGCAGGGAGGAAAGAAAGGGGGAGGGGGAAAAAAGAGAGGAAACTGCTTGAACCTCTAATGCAGGTGTTGATGTTTTAATTCCGCATCCAGCCGAGTGGTAATGAGGCGCGAATTCGGAAAGCGCGTCTCATTGTATTCAGACCCCTTGAATTTTACAGTTTTTTTTACGTTACAGACAAATTGTTTCTTCCCCTCAATGTACACACAATACCCCATAATGACAAAGCAAAAACAGGTTTAATTTTTTTATATATATATATATATGAAATCTCACATTTACTGAAGTATTCAGACCCTTTACTCAGTACTTTGTTGAAGCACCTTTGGCAGTGATTACAGCCTCGAGTCTTCTTGGGTATGACGCTACAAGCTTGGCACACCTGTATTTGGGGAGTTTAAATAGCGTCGCTGCACAGCTATTTGCAGGTCTCTTCAGAGATGTTCGATCGGGTTCAAGTCCAGGCTCTGGCTGGCCCACTCAAGGACATTCAGAGACTTGTCCCAAAGCCTCCTGCATTGTCTTGGCTGTGTGCTTAGGGTCATTGTCCTGTTAGAAGGTAAACCTTCGCCCCAGTCTGAGGTCCTGAGCGCTCTGGAGCAGGTTTTCATCAAGGATCTCTCTGTACTTTACTCCGTTCATCTTTCCCTCCATCCTGACTAGTATCCCAGTCCCTGCCGCTGAAAACCATTCCCACAGCATGATGCTGCCACCACCATGCTTCACCGTAGGGACGGTGCCAGGTTTCCTCCAGACATAAAGCTTGGCATTCAGGCCAAAGAGTTCAATCTTGGTTTCATCAGACCAGAGAATCTTGTTTCTCATGGTCTGAGAGTCTTTAGGTGCCTTTTGGCAAACTCCAAGTGGGCTGTCATGTGCCTTTTACTGAGGAGTGGCTTCCATCTGGCCACTCATCCATAAAGGTCTGATTGGTGGAGTGCTGCAGAGATTGTTGTCCTTCTGGATGGTTCTCCCATCTCCATAGAAAAACTCTGGAGCTCTGTCAGTGACCATCGGGTTCTTGGTCACTTCGCTGACCAAGGCCCTTCTCCCCGATTGCTCAGTTTGTCAGAGCGGCCAGCTCTAGGAAGAGCCTTGGTGGTTTCACACTTCTTCCATTTTAAGAATGATGGAGGCCACTGTGTTCTTGGGTACCTTCAATGCTGCAGGAACTTTTTGGTACCCTTCCCCAGATCTGTGCCTCGACACAATCCTGTCTTGGAGCTCTACGGACAATTCCTTCGACCTCATGGCTTGGTTTTTGCTCTGACATGCACTGTCAACTGTGAGACCTTATATAGACAGGTGTGTGTCTTTCCAAATCATGTCCAATCAATTGAACTTACCACAGGTGGACTCCAAGTTGTAGAAACATGTCAAGGATGATAAATGGAAACAGGATGCACCTGAGCTCAATTTCGAGTCTCATAGCAAAGGGTCTGAATACTATATACTATTCCTGTTTTTGTTTTTTTATAAAATTGCAAAAATTTCTAAAAAGCTGTTTTGGCTTTGTTATTATGGGATATTGTGTGTAGATTGATGAGGAAAAAACATAATTTAAACAATTTTAGAATAAGGCTGTAACTTAACAAAATGTGGAAAAAGTCAAGGGGTCTGAATACTTTCCGAATGCACTGTAAATGTACGTCATTTAGCAGATGGTCTTATCCAGAGTGACTTACATAATAATAATATGCCATTTAGCAGACGCTTTTATCCAAAGCGTGCATACATTTTTGTGTATGGGTGGTCCCGGGGATCGAACCCACTACCTTGGCGTTACAAGCGCCGTGCTCTACCAGCTGAGCTACAGAGGACCACACATCTACCAGGGTCTACCGTTTTTCAGCATGAGTGAAAAAAAAATCTAAATTTTCACATAAACACCTCCAGGCTGCTGAGCTGGTGCTTTTGCTTGATTGATTTATCATATTTCTACATACGGCATCAACGTCAAAACATGATGACTGCTGCCTGCGCGCATCTGTTGTATCTTCATACGAGAGCGAGGGAGGGAGGGAGCGGTGTGTTCGTTCGTCAGCCACCGCGGCGGAGAGAGGGAGCGACCCCAGAGTACAAAGAAGGAGAGAGCCAGCCAACCAGGCGTCATGGTGGCTGCCTTTCCCTGTCAGTGTCGCCGAGTAGAGAGCGTCCGTCCGGTCCCCCGAGACGGCAGGCTGGTGACAGGCGTGCAGAGGCCAGGGGACCCCGTGTAGCAGCCGTGTCACGTCGACTCTCAGCTTGTCAACATTACTACACCTGGCATACTGTCCTGTCTTAAGTTATTACCAGAGCTACTCCAATGGTACAGCTACTAATATAAATGGCAGGGGAATGCCAGAGGCATAAAAAACATAGCGAATAGTATTCAGAGAGGATTTTCTTACATCTATATTTAAGAGGAAAGTTCTATGTAGCGCTCCTGTCAAAAATACTACACCTGCCCTTAATATTACAGTATTGGCTGGTGGACCAAAAACCTAGTTGCAGACCCTGGTAAGTAACGCTATAGCATGTTAGCTAGGCCCTGTTTAGAGTCCACCGGTTCCATCCCAAATGGCACCTCAAATGGCTATGTAGGGAATAAGGTGCCATTTGGGACACAAACACTGTCTTTTTTTAATGTAGTGCTGGTAATGGTGATAGGTGTGAGTAGATATAACAACCTACCCTGTTGCCCATGCCCCCTCTGCCCCCCTGTGTGACCAGGCCCTGTATGGGCTGTTCGACGGGGGGGTTGGCCAGGGTTACCTTCCTCACTGGGCCCTGGCGGAGCTGGAGGGCTGGCCTGGTGGCCTGCTGCTGGATGGGGGCGCTGGCACCACTCACATCTCCTCCCTAGAGATCACACAGCACAGGGAAAATAAATAGACTGCAGGGCTGTGTCCTAAATGGCACCCTATTCCCCATATAGTGCACTACTTTTGACCAGAGTCCTATGGGGGTGACAACGTAGTGCACTATCGCAGGCTATAGGGTGCCATTTGGGACACATACTCTGATCAACAGACTTTCTACTAATTTCTCGGTTTTAACACAGTTACACAGTGTAGTCTGGATGGAGTCCTTGGATTCAATGCAGGGGCCTGGCGATGCAGAGAACACAGACCGATCAAGGATTCCAGACATAAAATCGAACACCAAAATGGTTGAAAATGGTCCTGTCGAAATGCGCCCTTGAGCAATGTCTGAAGCGAGTCTGGCTTTCCTATTCTCACACCACAATACCCATGAAGACATTAGCTTTGAGGCGGAGCACTGTGGGCCTCATGCTGAGAATGGATCCAACATGGTTACCCTCTGGTTATTAAATAGTTACAGATAGCTAGGGCTGTATAGCTTACACACATGCACACCCAAACAAGCACACACACACAGGCTGAAAGAGATGAAGGTTGTTCCTCCTCTTAATGTGACAGATCAATACTGGGAAAAGAGGGAAAAAAGGAGAGAAAGACAGCAGTGCTATCTGACTCTGACCGGTCTCCTGCTGTCATCCCACAGTAAATGGATTAATCCTCCTATAGAAATCTACAGCTGCTGATTGCACCCATCAGATGCTAAGCTGCATTACACCTGAGTGACACCGGCTTGACATGTTCCCCGTCCCATTACCCCACCCCCTATCCTCCCCACCCCCCTGGCTTTTGTATCGCGTGTTCCATTGTTGGGCCCTATTCTGCCTGATTAAACCCCCCCCCCCCTTATCTGCACTGCCTAAACTATACAAATCCAATTCCCTCAAAAGTGGCGACTCTTTCTTACACAGGTATTATGGCGCAGAGCCGCCCTGCTAAGGGAAGATTAATTGACGCGAGTCGTGAGTTGACGTTGAACGTTTCTATGGCTCACACACCTGAGAGGCGGCTGCTGTAGAGGGAGGGAGAGAGATAACATTGTCAGGCTGCCGTCGATGACAGCGGAACAATGTGTGGTGGAGAAAGTATCTGGAGAATCTGCTTTTCAGCACAGCTATGGGCTCCCTCTCTCCCTCGGAGATGCAGCACTTCAGATAGCTCGGAACAGGTTTCTACTAACGTGGCTGACACTCAGTTATCTTAATTTATGGCAGCAGAGAGAGAGCCTGCGATTCAGCCTTTACAGCCTAATCCTCTGGGATGGGAGCAAAGCAGCTTACTCCAAAATACATCACATCTCACAACTGCCTCATCAACGACAGATATGACTGTTTTAACACAAAGCCTTTTCCAATTTACACCCGAGATTAATTCATAATTAAGGCGGCAGTAGTGATTTGAACCAATGTGAATAAACTGATCATAAACTGATTTCTGAATCTGGACCCAGTTGGCTCATAACTGTCTTGCCTGTTTCGCACTTAAAGTTCCCATGTCTATATATTTTAAAGACAATATAGGGATGCCTTTAAAAAGGACAGACACCAAACTTTAGGAGCAGTGAACTGGTGTCTCTAACACCAAATACATTTGATAAAAGTCTGATAAATGCCAGACAGTTCACTTTAATGACTCGTGCCTTTTAATATTGTAAAGATGGGTGTGGAAGCATCTTCAATACCACCACTCAAATATGTTACAAAACATGTGGTCCTCCTAGGGAGTGGGTGACATTTAAAAGTATCTGGAAATTCTTGGGTTGAATTAACTTTCAAGGAAACGATAGAAGGTACCGAACGTACCGCAGGACAAAGGCAAAACGAAACAAAGACAAAACAAAGACAAAACGAAACAAAGACACTGTTTAGGACTGCAAAATTCAGGTAGATTTTCTAAAATTCCCAGACATCCTGGTTGGAGGATTTCCTGTTTATTCCCTCCAGATTCTGGGAATCTTGCAACCCTATGTCTGTCAGTCCAAAAGCAAATCACCAAACCAGGAACTCACCCCTCCTAGAAGCTTGACCACTCTGACTTTCTGTGGGACTTGCGGCCCTGCTCCGTCTCCACTATTGGCTCGCTGCATCACAGTTCTCTTCACCCCTGACTTAGGCCCCAGAGACTGGGCCTGGCCTGAACCCATACCCGCCATCGGGACTCCCTGCATGGGCATGTTCCCCATGGGAGGGGCCCCCCCTGGTCTGATAGGGTTCAGCTGGGTAACGTTCCACCTCTGCTGCCCGTGTTGCTGTTGCCACTGGACCTGCTGGTTAGGGTTGGGACCGGGGCCCCCGGGGCCAGTGTTCTGCCCCTGCTGGCCGCCCTGCCAGCCTGGAGCCGGGGCTTGCTGACCCTGGCCCTTGGTCAGGCGGGTCTTGACGTTCTGGTGGAGCGCGAGGGGCGTCTGTGGGGCTTCCCTGCCGTTAGGAGGGAAGGCAGTAGAGCCTTGCTGGGGCTGTTGAGGTTTAGGAGGAAACTGACGCTGCTGCTGTTGTTGGTGTTGCGGCTGTTGTTGTGGTGGGTCACCTTGGCCGTTGATGCGTTCCAGTAGCTCTTTCTTGCGGACGCTGGCCTGCATCTGCCTCCTCATCTCCTTCCTCTTCAGGATCTCCTCCCGGAGACGCTTCTGCTCCTCGATCTTCAGACGGTACTGCCGCGTCTCCTCGTCCTCGTCCGGATCCTACAACCAACCGAACAATATGAGAAACATCCCAAAGACACATCAAACTCACCATGTGCTAGTAACATGGTCTGCATCCACAATGGAACCCTATTCCCATTATAGTGCACTACTTTTGACCAAAGCCCTATTGGCCCTCAGAATAGTGATGGGGAAAGAAATTGATAGTTTCATATCGTGATATTATTTTTGCCGATATATTGTATAGTATCTTTTTTACAATATTGCATAATTATTTTTGCGCTAGTTTGCTGTACCAAAACTCCAGTATTTTTCCTTCATAGCTTGCTCTTTTTAAATAATGAGCCCATTTGTTTTCAGCACTTTTATTTCCATGACTGATCAAAACTCGTTTTCTCATAGCTCTCTCGTCCCTCCGCAGCAGACTTTTGCTCTCAGAACAGCCTCAATTCATTGGGGCATGGACTCTACAAGGTGTCGAAAGCGTTCTATAGGGATGCTGGTCCATGTTGACTCCATAGCTTCCCACAGTTGTGTCACGATGGCTGGATGTCCTTTGGGTGGTGGACCATTCTTGATACACACGGGAAACTGTTGAGTATGAAAACCCCAGCAGTGTTGCAGTTCTTGACACACTCAAATCGGTGCGCCTGGCACCTACTACCATACCCCGTTCAAAGACACTAAAATCGTTTGTCTTGCCCATTCACCCTCTGAATGGCACACAATCCATGACTCAAGGCTTAAAAATCCATCTTTAACCTGTCTCCTCCCCTTCATCTACACTGATTGAAGTGGATTTAACAAGTGACATCAATAAGGGATTATAACTTTCACCTGGTCAGTCTATGTCATGGAAAGAGCAGGTGTTCCTAATGTTTTGTAAACTCAGCAAAAAAAGAAACGTCCTCTCAGTCAACTGCGTTTATTTTCAGCAAACTTAACATGTGTAAATATTTGTATGAACATAAGATTCAACTAACTGAGACAAACTGAACAAGTTCCACAGACATGTGACTAACAGAAATTGAATAATGTGTCCCTGAACAAAGGGGGGGACAAAATCAAAAGTAACAGTCAGTATCTGGTTTGGCCACCAGCTGCATTAAGTACTGCAGTGCATCTCCTCCTCATGGACTGCACCAGATTTGCCAGTTCTTGTTGTGAGATGTTACCCTACTCTTCCACCAAGGCACCTGCAAGTTCCCGGACATTTCTGGGGGAAATGGCCCTAGCCTTCACCCTCCGATCCAACACCGCGACTTGTCAGTGAAGAGCACTTTTTGCCAGTCCTGTCTGATCCAGCAACGGTGGGTTTGTGCCCATAGGCGACCTTGTTGCCGGTGATGTTGTTGCCGGTGATGTCTGGTAAGGACCTGCCTTACAACAGGCTTAAAAGCCTTCAGTCCAGCCTCTCTCAGCCTATTGCGGACAGTCTGAGCACTGATGGAGGGATAGTGCGTTCCTAGTGTAACTCGGGCAGTTGTTATAATATGCCATTTAGCAGACTTTTTTACTTATGGGTGGCCCCGGGGATCGAACCCACTACCCTGGCGTTACAAGCGCCATCCTCTACCAATTGAGCTACATCCTGTACCTGTCCCGCAGGTGTGATGTTCGGATTTACCGATCCTGTGCAGTTGTTGTTACACGTGGTCTGCCACTGCGAGGACGATCAGCTGTCCGTCCTGTCTCCCTGTAGCGCTGTCTTAGGCGTCTCACTGTACAGACATTGCAATTTATTGCCCTGGCCACATCTGCAGTCCTCATGCCTCCTTGCAGCATGCCTAAGGCACGTTCACGCAGATGAGCAGGGACCCTGGGCATCTTTCTTTTGGTGTTTTTCAGAGTCAGTAGAAAGGCCTCTTTAGTGTCCTAAGTTCTCATAACTGTGACCTTAATTGCCTACCGTCTAAGCTGTTAGTGTCTTAACGACCGTTCCACAGGTGCATGTTCATTAATTGTTTATGGTTCATTGAACAAGCATGGGAAACAGTGTTTAAACCCTTTACAATGAAGATCTGTGAAGTTATTTGGATTTTTACGAATTATCTTTGAAAGACAGGTTCCTGAAAAAGTGACGTTTCTTTTTTTGCTGAGTTTAGAATCGTGAGAATAGCAATACATATCATATTGTGAGGTCAATGGCAAAACTTCACATTATTCCCATTATAGTGCACTACTTTTGACTAGCGCTTGTCAAAAGCCATGCACTATAGGCAATAGGGTGCCATTTGAGACACAGCCACAGAGCTGCAGCATTTACCATTGGAACCGTCTAAATTGGTGTGACATTCACAGTAGCAATGAGAAGCGATACCCCAGAGAAATATACTACGATGGTATTGATTTATTTTCTAATGGACTCCGTGAACGATTCTCATCTCATTTATAACCTTATGATTGGGCCATTAATAAATAGAACTACCCCATTTAAGATCACGGTGGGCTTAGCTCGGCTTATTATCTCAGGTTACTGAATTTTACAGGCACACCGTCTGTCAAAATAATAAAACATTCTCAAATGATCTCCATGCCTTGAATATGTGATGATACAACAGAGAAAACGATAAATGAAATAAAACTTGAAGGCCATTTTCTAAATTCTTTCTATATTGCAAATGAGTCGCACATGGAAATCCCAGCCGTTTGCCTTTGTTTTCCTGTTTTAGCATGACTTCAACACTGTTTTATTTAGACACTCCTTTTGGGTGCATCCAAAATGGCACCTTATTCCCTACATAGTGCACTACTTTTGATCAGAGCTTTATTCCACTATATAGGGAATAGGGTGCCATTTACATGTGGTGCAGAACTGACCTGTACTGCTGTGTTTGGCCGAGTGCCTGTGGAATCCCTGCGAACCACCGTTCTTTCAGGTGGCCCAGGAAGCTGTGCTGCAGCCTTGTTGGCAGCAGTAGGCTGGGCTCTTCCTCTGCCACCGCCGGGTACCGGCCGAGCGTTCAGGCCTGGACGCACCCCCCCCTGCATTGCCCTGGCAACGGGCCTGACGTTGGAGGCGTTTGGCGCAGAGGCAAGGCGGACATTGTTCATGTTTTGGTTGCCAGGTGCCACGGGGAGCTCGCGGAGGTTGCTGTTGCGCTGGGGAATAACTTTGGGGGTAGGAGGGCTCTGTGGAAAGGGGGAATGATTTGTATTGACATTTGCTTGATATGCATAGCCAATATAACCAATGTGATTTTCTTTTTGTGCCCCTTGGGTTTTTGATTGAAAGTAAAGCATGTCAATTCCTTCTAAATCATTTGGAACTTGCCATAAACCCAAACAGTCCTATGACCGACTGTGAGCACAATCATTTCACAATTCTGAAACAAAAAGGGAAAAACAAAACATGGCTGCTCACCATCCTGGGTCTGATGAGGGCGTTGCGCTGCTGGAGGTTCTGGGGGCGGGGCACGCTAGGGTGCATCTGTCTGGGGCTGCCGTGCTGCTGCATCTGCTGCTGGTGGAAGGGGGGCTGGCCCTGCCCGCCGCGGTGCATCATGGGGCCTTGCCGCTGCTCGCTGGGATGGGGGTGAGGGTGGTGCTGAGGGTGAGGCTGAGACAGGTCCTGTCTGCGGTGCTGCTGATGTTGTTGTTGCTGCTGATGGGATAGAGGCAAGTCATGATGCTGGAGCTGCGAGTGGAGAAGGCCGTGCTGCATCAAGCCCTAGTTTTAATTTCAATACAAAAAGACAAAGTGGGCAGAGTGAGTGATTTTAACTTTGACAGGGTCAAAGATGTACTGTTTTGACAAATAATTACAACATTTTTTTAAAATGCCACAGTTCTGAGTTGTCGTCCGTACACGATTCAAGCTTTTTCAAGGAGAAACTGTTACATGCATTTCATTAACCTCCAATCGGTGTCCTCAAATAGCCGCGGTAACAGAGGTAGAACTATGAGTGGTACACTAGAGGGCACTCTTGTCTGTGGCTCACCATACATACCGCATGGGAGGGAGGTCTCAGAAATATGAGCTGTTTTTATGACTGCTTCACTAACGGGGAATATTCAACGAGCTTGACTTATTTATGTGATCATTACTCGGGTCTCCAACATTTTAATAATCGAGAGAAAACTGGCTGAAATACACAATTGATTAGAAAAAAAAAAAGGCCCATATTTCACATTTGACATGCATCCTAACAGGTACTGTATAATCACGGATTGTGAAGAAGCTTGGAGAAAGCAATAGTTTACGATACAAACTGAACGGATTCCCTTCCATGCCGAGTGAATGCTAAACAAATGAATTAACAAATAGATAACATACCCATTTGTGGACCAACGCTTGAATCATTCCGTACACCTCATGCACAGGCAGAGCAAAGGCCACCACCACACACGTTAATTGGTAGTAGATTCACTTACTCTCATCCGTACCTGCATCCCAAACTGGAGCTGCTGTGAGGGGAAGGGCCCGGGAGTCCCCTGCTGCTGGGGGAAGCCGGGCTGACGGTGACCCATGAAGAGCCTGGTGTTGGTGGGTCCACTGTGCCCAGTCAGGCTGGCCATGCCCTGGTGGCTCTGGGGGTGGCCCTGGGGAGGCAGGTTAGGTCTGGGGGGCTCTCTCTGGAACATCCCTAGCTGGCCCCCTGGACCCTGGCCTGGCGGGTTGAACCCTCCTGGGCTTGGCTGACTGAAGGCCATGTGGCCCTGGCCGGGGAGCTGGTGGTTGTTACTGTTCATGAGCAAACCAGGGTTCTGGTGATCGAACATGAGCAGCTGCTGCCCTGGGAACCGCCCTGGCTCTATAGAACAGGAGGGGAAATAGGAGGGAGGAAAGAACCACAACTGAGACGTCAAGTTGTTTGCTGTGTCGCCGCAATTCCACTCACTTTCAATACATCAGACAGCGACTGCCATACATCTATTTTAACAGAATATGACACCAATATTTGATGGCATTTTAATTCCACATAAGCAGTAAATGGAGAAGTGATACGCATGTACATTAGGAGCCCCGACTCATTCGAATGCATGTATGTGCACATACATATAACATTAATTGAGTTAATGGAACTCCGCAATTGCGCTTGCAGCTTACCCTGAAGGTGTATTGTGAGGGGTTAATGCCCAGAAGGGTTAGATAAACTAAGAGAGAAGATGTAACCCCTTAAAGGCAGGGAAGGAAGCATGGGTGGGTGAGCTGGGTGTGTGGGGCTAGGTAAGGAGGGCTGCGTCCCAAATGGCACCCTTGCGTCCCAAATGGCACCCTGTTCCCTATGTGGTGCACTACTTATGACCAGAGCGCGCTGGTCAAAAGTAGTGCACTATGTAGGGAATAGGGTGCCATTTGGGACAAAAATAGTGCACTAAATAGGGAATAAGGTGCCAATTGGGACGCAAGGCTGTGGTCTTACCCCCGATGAAGAAGGGCTCTCTGTCCTGGGGTGTGGGGGGAGGCTGGTTCCTCCAGGGCTCCATGTGATGGGGGGGCCTCTGGGGCGGCTGGCTGAAATTACCAGGCATGTGCTGTTGCTGGAAGTCCCCCGGTCCCTGTGAGGGGGGAGAGGTGCACACAAAAACGCTCATGCATTTAATTCCACATTGAGAACCACTGTAATCACAAACTAATTAAAAAACCCAAAAAAGGGCATTTCGGGTAATAATATTATACTAGAAAGGGAGTGAGTGCTCGGAATTTAATGGCTAGGATTATTCTCATTAGGCATGATGTTGACTTGCGTAAAATGTATCAATGTGCGCACACATATTCAGAGAAAATACCATTGAGAATAAGTGAGAGTAAACCACTATAATTCACTAGAGTAGTCAATGGATCCTAGCAACATGACAAAAAATTTGCCATTTTGGTCAGGAAAACTTCCATTCGAGAAACGGTTCAAATATTGTAAAATATTGTATAAAACATTGTGAATTACAGGATCGCTATGGTAAACCTGCACTAAAGCATAAATAGAACTTTGTTGACTGAGGTGACCTGCTCGCGTTTCGGGAACAAGGACGGCAAAGCATTTTGGGCTTGGGTTAAATCAGTGTTAATTTCTTTGTTCCAGCCACCTATTTTGTATGTACAACAGCTTTCCACACAGCACACAATCCCCCCCACCGTGCTGCATCTAATCTAACTTCAAGGAAAAGCAGCAGATAACGATCCTGTAATCCGTCCTCGGAATAAAAAGGCCCCCTCATAGCCAGTCTCTCCTTTATTCTCTTAAACATGAGTCTCTGTTGAAAAATTAACCTTCAACTCAACATGTTGCACTTCCACAAATGGGGTGCTTAGACCTCCCTCCTCCTCGCCGCTTTATAAATGACTTAAGATGCTATCTAAGCTTAATCCATCTTGATTCGCCGGTAGACTGACGGCATTTAGAGAGGGATAGAGGGGTGTTTTGTATGCTGGAAGGGCGAGAGAGTCACCAAAGTTGCTTAACAGAAAGTTAATCAACGGGGCTTAACGAAGCAGAGGAGGAGAGGGAGCGGATCACATTGTTAGTTTGGACATTAACGCTCTGTTTCAAAGGTCAGTCCGGTATGCACAATGGAGGCTCGGTTGTCTACATAATACCTCTGGAAATTTGTATGAATTTGATAACGCGTCTCATCATCTGAGTGTTAATCCTTGATAAACAGGCTGAGAGGTGCTCAATGTGTAACTGATGCTGCAGATATCCCCCTCGGAAAGAGAGAGGGCTAGCTAAGACAAATGTCATACAATGGACCGGGCCAAATGTCAAACCATTCAATGAGAAATGGAAATGAAGAGGATTAGAAGTGACATTTGTTTTGGTCGTTCCCTCTTTGGACATAGTGTTTTGTACAAATTGCATATTGTTGCCACTGATGAGGGAGGGATTTCACCTTTCTAAGGACAATGGTACAGTTGACCAATGAGGCTGAAAGACATGTTAGATAAGTGCCTCCACCATCAGACAGAACATTTGCCCGATGTGACTTCAATGTCACAGTTTAAAGTTCTTTGTAGCTTGGTCAATGTGGAACCAAGGCTACTTTCATGTTATCAATATCTAACCTGGATTTTTTTTCAGCAGCGGTGGCAAAGTTAGCGTGGGGGGTGTGTGGTAGTGGGCATGGCCAATTGCGCGGTCTCCGACCAAAGATTTTAAAGGCTATCCTCTTGGCCGCAGAGAAAACATTTGCCTGCTTTAAAGTTAATTTCCAGCAATTCTACACATTTTGCCACAGGGCAGAGAGAACATTTTAGTTTTAAAAGCTTGTTTCCTGCAATTCTACACATTTTTGCCATGGCTTATGGCGTTTTTTAATGACATCTGACTGACTCAAACATAACAAAATCAATGGGGGCCCCATGCCACGACATTTTTGGAATTTTAGATTCTCTGACTGTCTAGTTTTTATTGCCGATCGTTAGTTCTCAGATTATCTTGTTTAAAAATATATAGCTCCTTTATCTTTTCTATATACTTCATATTGGTTTTAGTCATTTACGTTTACACTGACAACGTTTTACCATTGCAATATTTTATAAAATTATATTTCTTGGCATGCCTGCAACGATTTAGAAGAGGCGGCCAGCCACTGCTAAATGAATATAGGGTACTGCACCACCAAGCACTTGATATAATGTATACTATTTCTGCTACATGCAAATTACAAACAAACATCTATTCTTGACTAGCTGTATTTTTTTTATCATTATAGCCCCCTAATGAGCTCTTAATTGGAACCCCTGATTAATATTTTTCCATATAACGATATTACAGATGGTGAAGAATCTCCCCCTCCCCTTCTTGAACAATTACATTTGATAATATGATAATGTATGATAATCATCCGTAATCTGGTGCCCAATGGTACATGGATGTTGCTGGGCTTTTTGTGACCTGTATTTCTAATCGTGTCTGTGGCAATAGCAGCCTAAACGCGATTGACAGCTGGGGAAACCAACAACATGCTAGACGTCAGCTAAGCCTCTCCCTCTCGCTCAAACTCGTACAAAAGTGAAAAACAGCTCTGCTACACACACTGGAGCACTCTCTCTGCTATCAATGTCCACCACCATCACAGACTGATGGAAACTGGCACTGGAAAATTGAAATGGAGAGTAGACGAGGAAGACAGAATAAAATGTTGGCAATTTCCAAATAACAGACTAACGCGAGACCCTGGCTCATTTGTTGACAAGGTTTATAAACCTTTCACCAAATGCAATTGGATGCAGCCCTTCTTTTTTTAAAATTTTATAGCCGATTTGCATGAATCCATATAAAACACTCTTCCCGGGAAGGTGTCAGTCAGCACCAGCGCCACCTGATGCCTGGGCATCATTAGCTGGGAGAACTGAACCTACATCCCAAATGGCACCCTATACCCTACATAGTGCACTACTTTTGACCAGAGCCCTATGGGCCCTGGCCAAAAGTAGCACACTATGTAGGGAATAGGGTGCAATTTGGGATGCACGCGGAGTAACTTGAGGCATATTTGGCTGCCTGGCCAATCCACTTCCCCCACAATGTTGTAATCACTTTAAAAGGCATTCCTTTCCTGTCATCTCTGCAATAGGTTCTAGTTTACTCAGAGGCTCTTCAATGACTACAGATTCCTTTCTTTGACTACCTGACTATCTATTTAGCCCTGAGTATGAAACAAAAACAATATTTTGGGCATGTTTTATCCATTCAAACAGCCTTCTAAAGGACTGTTCTGCTTTGGGACAAACTTGTCCTAAAAAGTGGTATTTTCACTGGCAGATAAAAAGTGGTATTTTCACTGGCGGTAGTAGGCTTTATCCTGGGCTGCATGCCAAATGGTACCCTATTCCCATAGGGCTCTGGTCAGATGGAGCGCACTATGTAGGGAATAGGGTTCCATTTGGGACGCAGGCCTGATTTCAGGATTCCATTATGATGCCAACCTCAGAGTCTGAGCCCTAGCACATCCATGAAGAGTGCAAACTAAACTAAGCCTGTCACCATAGCCACTGCCTAAAGCCCCTATCAACCATTTCCAGTTGTGCAGACAGACTTGGTATCAGTGTTTACAGATTTGCTCTAACAGTATTTGGACCCAAGTGGGCATCTAATTGCCATAATGACATTTCTCTCACAAAAAGGTCCACATGGTTAACGGAGATGGGGGAGCAGCTGCTACTCACAGGGAACCTCTGAGGACCCACAGCAGGTCTGGGTGGCTGGCTCTGGGCAGGAGGCATTAAGGGCACTGCAGACAGAGAGAGAGAACGATGTAGAAGATTGGGGGTCCGGGGGGGGGTCAAGAAATTAGAATAGGAAGAGAGAGAACGAGTGTGGGGAGAAGGAGAGGCAGTCCATTAGACACCTCTTTGTGAGCTGTTATACAGGCACGTCTTAAGGCTCACACGTCGCACCGAATGTGGATCTAGCGTTCGTCTGAGCGCTGTTTTATATTTCACCTCCGAAATGGGCTCACACTTGTACACATCTGGACAGAGGAATGAACATAGTAAAAGCATGCGGTTGTAGTTCTCTTAAGGACCACAGGTTAAGGTGGATGGGTACATGTATTAGCTAGGCTTCTTGACTTCAGTAAATATTACATACATTTTCAATTCATAATCAGTTTGAGTTGCAACTGGTAATGCTGATTAATTTCCAATGACAGAAATACATTTAAAAAAGGACAATACGTTGTATGTACAGTTATTCGGAAAGTATTCGGACCCTTTCCCTTTTTCCACATTTTGTTACGTTACAGCCTTATTCTAAAATGTATTAAATAAAATTTTCCCCCTCAATCTACATAATGACAAAGCGAAAACAGGTTCGAATTTTTTGCAAATTTATAAAAAACAGAAATACCTTATTTACATAAGTATTCAGACCCTTTGCTATGAGACTCGAAATTGAGCTCAGGTGCATCTTGTTTCCATTGATCATCCTTGAGATGTTTCTACAACTTGATCGGAGACCACCTGTGGTAAATTCAATTGATTGGACATGATTTGGAAAGGCACACACCTGTCTATATATGGTCCCACAGTTGACAGTGCATGTCAGAGCAAAAACCAAGCCATGAGGTCGAAGGAATTGTCCATAGAGCTCCGAGACAGGATTGTCTCGAGGCACAGATCTGGGGAAGGGCATTGAAGGTCCCTTAGAACACAGTGGCCTCCATCATTCTTAAATGGAAGAAGTTTGGAACCACCAAGACTCTTCCTAGAGCTGATCGCCCGGCCAAACTGAGAAATCGGGGGAGAAGGGCCTTGGTCAGGGAGGTGACCAAGAACCTGATGGTCACTCTGACAGAGCTCTAGAGTTCCTCTGTGGAGATGGGAGAACTTTCCAGAAGAACAACCATCTCTGCAGCACTCCACCAATCAAGCCTTTATGGTAGAGTGGCCAGACAGAAGCCACTCCTCAATAACAGGCACATGATAGCCTGCTTGGAGTTTGCCAAAAGGCACTTAAAGGACTCTCAGACCATGAGAAACAAGATTCTCTGTCTCGTCTGATGAAACCAAGATTGAACTCTTTGGCCTGAATGCCAAGCGTCACGTCTGGAAGAAACTTGGCACCATCCCTACAATGAAGCATGGTGGTGGCAGCATCATGTTGTAGGGATGTTTTTCAGCAGCAGGGACTGGGAGACTAGTCAGGATCGAGGCAAAGATGAACGGAGCAAAGTACAGAGAGATCCTTGATAAAAACCTGCTCCAGAGCGCTCAGGACCTCAGACTGGGGCGAAGGTTCACCAGGACAACGACCCTAAGCACACAGCCAGGACAACGCAGGAGTGGCTTCGGGACAAGTCTCTGAATGTTCTTGAGTGGCCCAGCCAGAGCCCAGACTTGAACATCTCTGGAGAGACCTGAAAATAGCTGTGCAGCGACGCTCCCCATCCAACCTGACAGCGCTTGAGAGGATCTGCAGAGAATGGGAGAAACTCCCCAAATACAGATGTGCCAAGCTTGTAGCGTCATACCCAAGAAGACTTGAGGCTGTAATCGCTGCCAAAGGTGCTTCAACAAAGTATTGATTAAAGGGTCGGAATACTTATGTAACTGTTATATTTTAGTTTAGTTTTATAAATTTGTAAACATTTCTAAAAACCTGTTTTTTCTTTGTCATTATGGGTTATTGTGTGTAGATTAATGAGCTGGAAAAAACTATTTAATTCATTTTAGAATAAGGCTGTAACATAACAAAATGTGGAAAAAGTCAAGGGGTCTGAATACTTTCCGAATGCACTGTATGGGTTCAGGGACATTTGCCAACAACTGTAAAACACTCCTGTTATCCTGTCCACCCCCCTCCCCTCAACACACACACACAGAGTCTCTCTCTGTCACACACACACACACTCTTCAACGTCAGTCTGGAAAGACAGGGCAGATAAACAGATTGAGGAATGGAGATGCTGCCAAAAAATGACGAACCTATTACTGGCTGAGAGACGTATCCTCTTGTCATTCAACCAAACAACATGACATTCTAATCCAGACACTTTTCAAAGCAGTGCACTGATAACTGCAAACCAAATTGCATCTCATGCCTTCACCTAATTTGCAAATATTCACAACATTCAACAGAAGAGGTACTATCATTACAATAAGTCAGAACCCAATGAAATGGCACCCTATCCCCTTTATAAAGCATTACTTTTGACCAGGGCCAACAGTAGTGCAGTATCTAGGGAATTCGGTTCCATTTGGCCCTGCAAACATGCGGAGCAGCCCAATGTACAGACCTACCTTGCGCAGGGGAGGACGCAGGGCCCCTGAAATGGGGGTTGATGTGGATGTTCTTGGGCTGCTGCTGCTGCTGCTGCTGCTGCTGTTGTTGTTGCTGTTGGTGGTTGTGTGAGGGAGGGGGACTCATCATGCGGGGCGGTGGGTCAATCTGGGGCCTGACTGGTGCCCCGCGTTGGGCCATGTGCAGGGGGATGAGGGGCTGCAGGGGCTGCTGGGTCAGCGGGCCACCACCGTGCTCCTGGAAGGAGGGCCCTCGAGGGCCACCCTGGTGATGGTGCTGCTGAGGATGATGATGTTGGTGGTGGTGAGGGGGAGGCATTCTGGAGGGAGACTGCTAATTGGAGGTAATGAGAGAGAAGAGAGGAAAGACCGACACAACAAGTCAGATATGTCGAGAAACAGAGGCTATATATAGCACAGTAAATGAGCTCAATAAAATATACCTGTTTTCTCACCTATTTATTTAGCTTTAGCTCACATACAATTAGTAATTGTATGTGAGCTTGAGATAAACGTTTAGATGAGGAAACGTGAATAGTTAATTTATTACCCGTTGACCAGCCAATGTATGAACTCTAAACCAAGATATTTTCAGTTATTCATCACACAGTCCATCTTCACTAAAATGTATGAATTAATGTATGCGGTTATGCTTTAAGTGATAAATACATTAAGACTGGTCCTACAATTAATTAATAGCATGATTCATTAGACAAGAGAAATTGAATATTGCAGTCCAACTGAGCATTCCATTATCTCTCCAGTACCTCTTAAAAAAGCATAGCTACTTTGACGATCCCCCTACTTAGAATACATGTTAAAAATAACTTGCCTTTTTCATAACTGAAATTGATTTGTTTATTTGGATCCCCATTAGATTTTGCAGAAGCAGCTACTCTTCCTGGGGTCCACAAAAACCACAAAACATGAAAAATAACAAAAACACTGATTTATAACTCACACAAATTTAAACTACGATATACACTGAGTGTACAAAACATTAGGAACACCTGCTCTTTCCATGAAATAGACTGACCAGGTGAATGCAGGTGAAAGCTATGATCCCTTAGTGATGTCACCTGTTAAATCCACTTCAAATCCGTGAAGATGAAGGGGAGGAGACAGGTTAAAAAAGGGTTTTAAAGCCTTGAGACATGGATTGTGTATGTGTGCCATTCAGAGGGTGAATGGGAAAGACAAAATATTGAAGTGTCTTTGAACAGGGTATGGTAGTGTTGGATTCTAGCTTGAAATATACTTATTCATATCCTCATTCAAGGGTTTTTCTTTATTTTTACTATTTTCTACATTGTAGAATAATAGTGAAGACATCAAAACTATGAAATAACACATATGGAATCATGTAGTAATTTAAAAAGTGTTAAACAAATCAAAATATATTTTATATTTGAGATTCTTCAAATAGCCAACCCTTTGCCATGATGACAGCTTTGCACACTCTTGGCATTCTCTCAACCAGCTTCATGAGGTAGTCACCTAGAATGCATTTCAATTAACAGGTGTGCCTTCTTGAAAGTTAATTTGTGGAATCATTTGTGTTGTGACAAGGTAGGGGGGGTATACAGAAGATAGCCCTGTTTGGTAAAAGACCAAGTCCATATTATGGCAAGAACAGCTCAAATAAGCAAAGAGAAATGACAGTACATCATTACTTTGAGACATGAAGGTCAGTCAATACGGAACATTAAGAACTTTGAGTTCTTCAAGTGCAGTCGCAAAAGCCATCAAGCGCTATGATGAAACTTGCTCTCATGAGGACCACCACAGGAATGGAAGACCCAGAGTTACCTCTGCTGCAGAGGATAAGTTCATTCCCAGCCTCAGAAAATGCAGCCCAAATAAATGCTTCACAGAGTTCAAGTAACAGACACATCTCAACATCAACTGTTCAGAGGAGACTATGAATCAGGCCTTCATGGTCGAATTTCTGCAAAGAAACCACTACTAAAGGACACCAATCAGAAGAAGAGACTTGCTTGGGCCAAGAAACACGAGCAATGGACATTAGACCAGTGGAAATGTGTCCAAATTGGAGAGGTTTGGTTCCAACCGTCGTGTCTTTGTGAGACGCGGTGTTTGTGAATGGATAATCTCCGCATGTGTATTTCCCACAATAAAGCATGGAAGAGGTGGTGTTATGGTGTGGGGGTGCTTTGCTGGTGACACTGTCTGTGACGTATTTAGAATTCAAGGCTCACTTAACCAGCATGTCTACCACAGCATTCTGCAGCGATATGCCATCCCATCTGGTTTGGGCTTAGTGGGACTATCACACAGCCTCCAGGCTGTGTAACGTCTATTTTACCAAGAAGGAAAGTGATGGAGTGCTGCATCAGATGACCTGGCCTGCACAATACCCCAACCTCAACCAAATTGAGATGGTTTGGGATGAGTCGGACTGCAGAGTGAAGGAAAAGCAGCCAACAAGTGCTCAGCATACAGTGGGGAAAAAAAGTATTTAGTCAGCCACCAATTGTGCAAGTTCTCCCACTTAAAAAGATGAGAGAGGCCTGTAATTTTCATCATAGGTACACGTCAACTATGACAGTCAAAATGAAAAAAAAAAATCCAGCAAATCACATTGTAGGATGTTTAATGAATTTATTTGCAAATTATGGTGGAAAATAAGTATTTGGTCAATAACAAAAGTTTCTCAATACTTTGTTATATACGCTTTGTTGGCAATGACACAGGTCAAACGTTTTCTGTAAGTCTTCACAAGGTTTTCACACACTGTTGCTGGTATTTTGGCCCATTCCTCCATGCAGATCTCCTCTAGAGCAGTGATGTTTTGGGGCTGTCGCTGGGCAACACAGACTTTCAACTCCCTCCAAAGATTTTCTATGGGGTTGAGATCTGGAGACTGGCTAGGCCACTCCAGGACCTTGAAATGCTTCTTACGAAGCCACTCCTTCGTTGCCCGGGCGGTGTGTTTGGGATCATTGTCATGCTGAAAGACCCAGCCACGTTTCATCTTCAATGCCCTTGCTGATGGAAGGAGGTTTTCACTCAAAATCTCACGATACATGGCCCCATTCATTCTTTCCTTTACACGGATCAGTCGTCCTGGTCCCTTTGCAGAAAAACAGCCCCAAAGCATGATGTTTCCACCCCCATGCTTCACAGTAGGTATGGTGTCCTTTGGATGCAACTCAGCATTCTTTGTCCTCCAAACACGACGAGTTGAGTTTTTACCAAAAAGTTCTATTTTGGTTTCATCTGACCATATGACATTCTCCCAATCCTCTTCTGGATCATCCAAATGCACTCTAGCAAAATTCAGACGGGCCTGGACATGTACTGGCTTAAGCAGGGGGACACGTCTGGCACTGCAGGATTTGAGTCCCTGGCGGCGTAGTGTGTTACTGATGGTAGGCTTTGTTACTTTGGTCCCAGCTCTCTGCAGGTCATTCACTAGGTCCCCCCGTGTGGTTCTGGGATTTTTGCTCACCGTTCTTGTGATCATTTTGACCCCACGGGGTGAGATCTTGCGTGGAGCCCCAGATCGAGGGAGATTATCAGTGGTCTTGTATGTCCTCCATTTCCTAATAATTGCTCCCACAGTTGATTTCTTCAAACCAAGCTGCTTACCTATTGCAGATTCAGTCTTCCCAGCCTGGTGCAGGTCTACAATTTTGTTTCTGGTGTCCTTTGATAGCTCTTTGGTCTTGGCCATAGTGGAGTTTCGAGTGTGACTGTTTGAGGTTGTGGACAGGTGTCTTTTATACTGATAACAAGTTCAAACAGGTGCCATTAATACAGGTAACGAGTGGAGGACAGAGGAGCCTCTTAAAGAAGAAGTTACAGGTCTGTGAGAGCCAGAAATCTTGCTTGTTTGTAGGTGACCAAATACTTATTTTCCACCATAATTTGCAAATAAATTCATAAAAAATCCTCCAATGTGATTTTCTGGATTTTTTTCCCTCAAATTGTCTGTCATAGTTGACGTGTACCTATGATGAAAATTACAGGCCTCTCTCATCTTTTTAAGTGGGAGAACTTGCACAATTGGTGGCTGACTAAATACTTTTTTTCCCCACTGTATGTGGGAACTCCTTCAAGACTGTTGGAAAAGCATTCCTCATGAAGCTGGTTGAGAGAATGCCAAGAGTGTGCAAAGCTGTAATCAAGGCAAAGTGTGGCTATTTCAAGATTCTCAAATATATTTTGATTTGTTTAACACTTTTTTGGTAACTACATGATTCCATATGTGTTATTTCATTGTTTTGATGTCTTCACTATTATTCTACAATGTAGAAAATTGTCAAAATAATGAATGAGTAGGTGTTCTAAAACTTTTGACTGGTAGTGTACACTCACTTCCACGCCCATGAGGGTCCTAGAGTTAGGCAAGGGTCATGACAATACCAGTAAGAAGAATTGGTTATCTTAGACATGCAAGGAGGTGACTCCGCCTAGTTGGAAGGTATAAAGATGTGTTTGTGTGACTTGTATGTTGTCTTTGCAGCTGTATGACTAAACTTGGTTAGCACTTTTTCAAGTCGTTCGAGTTTTTACTCTGTTTGTTTAGAACCTAACAGTAGTATGTGCCAGGCACACCGGTTTGAGTGTATCAAGAACTGCAATACTGCTGGGTTTTTCACGCTCAACAGTTTCCCATGTGTATCAAGAATGGTCCACCACCCACAGGACATCCAGCCAACTTGACACAACTGTGGGAAGCATTGGAGTCAACATGGGCCAGCAGTCAACTGAGTGGCGCAGTGGTCTAAGGCACTGCATCGCAGTGCTAACTGTGCCACTAGAGATCCTGGTTCGAATCCAGGCTCTGTCGCAGCCGGCCGCGACCGGGAGACTCATGGGCGGCGCACAATTGGCCCAGCGTCGTCCAGGGTAGGGGAGGGAATGGCCGGCAGGGATGTAGCTCAGTTGATAGAGCATGGCGTTTGCAACGCCAGGGTTGTGGGTTCGATTCCCACGGGGGGCCAGTATAAAAAAAATATGTATTCACTAACTGTAAGTCGCTCTGGATAAGAGCGTCTGCTAAATGACTAAAATGTAATGTAAATGAATGCTTGACACCTTGTAGAGGCCATGCCCCAACAAATTGAGGCTGTTCTGAGGGCAAAAAGGGGTGCAACTCAATAATAAGGTGTTCCTAATGGTTTGTACACTCACTGTACAAACAACGCAACAAAAATAATCCAAACAGTACAAATAAAAAATGGTGTGTCTGTTAGTGTGTCCCCTCATAGCCCCAGTCGTTCCACAAGTTATTTTGTAATCTGTTTTTTGAAAGGTAATTTTGCTGTTTGCTTGAGTAATTGGAGATGGAAG